GGTGAGGACGATATCATTATGTAAATTACTTTTATTCCATTATGCGTACATTTTTAAAACTATGAAATCTATACGTATTGCAATTCAAAGCGTTGTAATAAATTCCGACATTCATTTTGGTTTCTCCCCCTACCTTTCTTCACAATACCAAACAAGGGAAAGCTTATTCCACCCCTCCCCCCTCCTGCTCAACTCCAAAAGAGAAATTATTTCACTCCCTTCCTTTCCCCTCCGTTGAACGAAATACTACCTAAATGGATGAACTTATATTGATATGAGTATGTTTTATGGTCGCCTTCCAAGATTTCTTTTGTCATGAAACATGTAATCTTAAGAACTTTTGTTTTCGGTAACCAAAGACGTAGTGGTGTTACACATTACCTCATGATTCCCCTCCCCCTCTAATCACCATCATGGATTCATGGGAAAATTTGGATGATGAACTGTGATTTATTCTTCTGCTCCGATACAATGTTGTCGTTTACATCTACACGTAGTTACTTGCATGAACATTTACTTTTTCTCACGCCTTTCTATGGTGGACACGCCAAGATTCATTCCCTATATGTTGTCATTTTCAAATGCAGTTTGCTTTGCCTTATATCCTGGGATGGAACCACTATATTGATGGGCAACAAACAAGCACGGATCAGATGCCTTCAGGAAATGTGGCAAGATTTCCCGTGTCCGAATGGGACAAATGAAGCCGAAGTGAGTAACCGTCTTGTTCTTGTTTTTTGGCTGGCTGCTGGGTACTTTGCTCTCATCTGAAACAGAGAGAAATCTGATGTATGATGGTGAGGAAAATTTAAGCTTTTGTATGGAGACATTCTAGAGTTGAAAACATAGATCAGAGTTGGTAATGTATGATGGCACACTTGAAACCAACACCTTTTAAGTCTTTTTTGCCAGTTTTAATCTCGGTTATTAGAACCAGACCGGACCAGAGGGTCAGATCGGTCGAACTCGAACCAAAATTTATACTCCCTCCGTCCCTAAATAGATTGCAATTTTTTTTTCTCTCCTCTCGATAACTTTTGTTTGTTTACGCGATTTTATTAAGTATTTAATAAAATAGAATATTCTTGTCATCTCTTGTTTTGTAGAACTTTTGACGTAGTTTTTTAATATGTAATTTTTATATTTTATTGATATACCAATTTGTAAATAAAATGATTTCAAAAAGTAGGAAATTTTACTCCGTAACCCGCAATTTGTAATCAAATTGGGGACGGAGGGAGTATTCTATAAAATTTATATAAAATATATAATAAGATTTATGTATTTGAAAAGAATTTAATTAGTTTTACAAAATAAGAGATGACATTGTTATGTTATTTTATGTGATGCGTAATAAAATGAAGCCAAAAAAAGAGATAAAACTTTGATTGTGGAATAGTGATTTTTTGGTACAGAGGGTTAATGTCTATTTAGAAATTCAATTTTTAATTTTGTAATCCACGTATTATACGAATTTTAAAATACTATTTTTATTTCAAAATTTAGAATTTAAACTTTTGACTTTCGAGTGCCAATTTCCATTTGAAATTCAAAGTACTTTTTTGAGTTTTTCGTCCAAAATTGTGTCAAATAAATTTACACACTTTATTTTTCTGATAAAATAACAGGAAATAGATTTTCGCACTAAATCTTACAATTCCTATCATGACATCATACATAATGACTATCAGTAAAAATAATTAACCATAGAAAATCATGAGTTGTGATAATAGAAACAATCAATTGGATTACATTTCAATTTTCCATAATTTATAACTTGTGAAATTTGTACTAAATATGACTAAAACATAACGACTTTCCTAATTCAAAACTTAAACTTTTTTATTCTCTAAATAAGACTTATTAATGTCTTAGTGAGATGAATAATGTCCAGTATTGATGGACATTTACTTGAATTATGACTAATTCATAATGACCAAAAGTCTTACATTGGAAAATAAAAACTCATTTATTATGTTAATGAGTTAGCTATTTTAATCAATATAAAGAGTAGTGATTTGACATTATTTTATTTAATTTTTTAATTTATTAAACATAGTGAACTAACTAATACTACATCCGTCAATTATTATTACTATTATTATTATTGTGATTATTATTACTATTATTATTATAGTTATTATTATTATTATTTCTATTATTATTACTATTACTATTACTATTATTATTATGATTATAATTATTACTCCGTATTACTATTGTTATTATAATTATTATTATTGTTATTAATATTAATATTATTATTGTTATTACTATTATTAATATTATTGTAACTATTTTTATTACCATTATTATTACTATTAGTATTATTATTATAGTTATTACTATTCTTATTATTATTAGTATTATTACTATTATTATTATTATTATTATTATTATTATTATTATTATTATTATTATTTCTTTTATCATACGGGGAAGGTTCCCATGACATTGGGAACCAATGTTTTGACTTCAAAGTCAAAATCGACTTGTGAGGTGCAATTGGAGGGGGTGGGGGGGTTTGTTCGGTGCG